CCCTAGTCGTTGTCTCATTCTCATCTTGTCACACACAACTTCTCTCTGATAAGCTTTCGGCGCTTGTTTGTCACAATTTCTGGTGTCGAAATCACACTACGTCACTGTCGTTCGTCTCGCTCGACCAAATAAAAAAAAAACTCTATTTCAGCATTATACATATGTTTCAGCATTGTTCCTTAGCCTCCTGTCATAATATTTGTTTAGCTTTGCGTATTGTAGCAGTTGTGATGTTCCTGATGGCTTGTGTCATTTATTTACAAGTCTCCAAAGAGAGTCAGTGCTATTAGTTGGTTAACACCAAGGAATTTCAACACCAAAGTCATAGGTTGAAGGTTCCTCATAGCATGAGGGGAGTCTATTTCTGACAAGATTCAGAATCTTAGTCAAACAATTTCATCAGTCCCTTGTCAGATCTGTTTTTGGATGCTTTGATGAATAAAGGAGACCATTATGATCTTCCACCTTCATGATTTGTCATTGGCGGCGTCATCATTTTCGTCGTTTGTCATGGGAGAGTATGTTTCCAACCATTGCAATATGTTTCCAGCCACTGCATGCCCCATCAGTCAGTGATGGCAATCCCTGCAGTTTTGTCCTTTCAGCCACTGCAGGTCCCCCATCACCTCGTCAGTCAGTGATGGCAATCCTTGTAGTTTGTCGCTTTCAATCACTGCAGGCCCCATCAGTCAATGATGACAATTTAGTCCCTGTAGTATGTTTCAACCACTGCAAACCCCATCAATCAGTGATGGTAGTTTAGTCCCTGTAGTGCAGGGACTGCCATCACCTCGTCAGTCAGTGATGGCAGTCCTTGTAGTTTGTCGCTTTCAACCATTGTAGGCCCCCATCAGTCAATGATGACAATTTAGTCCCTGTAGTATGTTTCAACCACTGCAAACCCCATCAATCAGTGATGGTAGTTTAGTCCCTGCAGTTTGGTCGCTTTCAACCACTACAGGCCCCGTCAGTCACTGATGGCAATTTAATCCCTATAGTTTGTCGCTTTTAGCCACTACAAGCCCCATCAGTCACTGATGGCAATTTAATCTTCTAGTTTGTCACTCTTAGCCACTACAGGCCCCATCCTTACATGGCAGTTGTAGTTTGGTCGCTTTCAACCACTACAGGCCCCATCAATCATTGATGGCAATTTAATCCCTGTAGTTTGTCGCTTTTAGCCACTGCAAGCCCCATCCTTTCTCGATGGAATCCAGTCTTTGCAGTTTATCGCTTTTAGTCATGCAAACCCCATCCTTACTTGATGGCAATCCAGTTTCTGCAGTTTGTCGTTGTCTACCACTCGTCATTCACTTTTGACGGAAATCAATTTTGTCAAAGTCATCCTACTTGAAGGTTCATGGTGCTAGATGAAGTTTCGTGGTTGTCCAATATTATTCTCCATAAGCTTATGAGGAGTCTCTTTGGCTATGCTGGATTGTGAGTCCAATTTGGTTTATAAACATTCTCTTTGGATGGACTGAAGTATACGTGCATCTTGTTCTAAGTCGAAGTTTCTAAGTTGCTAAAGAGACCTCAGATTGAGTTTATTTGTTCCAAGCTTGGTAAATACAATTTGTATGCTCCAACTTGAGGGTGAGTGTTAGCATATTTATCCTATTTTATCATCATTATATTGTGTCAAGAGTTACCCTATTTATCATGATTATATTGTGTCAAGGGTTACCCTATTTATCATGATTATATTGTGTCTAGGGTTATCTTATTTATCATGATTATATTGTGTCTAGAGTTACCCTATTTGACATGATCATAGCTCATAATCCAGGATAACATGTTAGGACACTTAAGAATTAAACTGTAAAATAATTCTAGAGGGCTTAATTGATCCCTCTCACAATCTTCTATTTATAAGAAGGGTTAAATATGTTTTTAGTCCCTAAACTATTGGTCGTTTTTGGTTTTCGTCCCTGTTTCAAAGTAAGGTACAATTTGGTTTACACCAGAAAGAGGGACGAAAACCAGAAACGACCAATAGTTGAGGAGGAGTGTTGTAATTAGAGGAAATTATTAGAAAGTGGTTTTTAAGCCTAACTCACCCCACAAAACCGGTTTGTAAGGTGAGGTTTACACCCGACTTATATATTATAATTTGGGCTTATCACTAGTCGATGTAAGACTTCCAACACATCCCCTCCACGGCGAGGTATAGACATCTCGAGCGTGAGAATAGAATTAATAGGTGGTCCACATAGATCTCGCTAGGATAGGCTCTAACCATAGCTCTGATACCATGTTGAATATAGTGAAAAACTATATATGGGATTAATCTCCCTTATGTTGAATATACACATAGAGTCCTCTACTTATAATTGAAGAAATATGGGCTAAGCCCAAAATAAAAATAAGAAATAATAACAAACTAACTAAAGATAAAAGATAAATATAAAATAAAGATAATATATCTAACAGAAATATCCATAGAATCTTCTTAATTAGAGAAAATATCTATAGAATCTTCCTAATTAGAGAAAATATTTGTAGGATCTTCTAGATTATTTTTCAATATATTGTTTCCTTATTTCCCTTTTTTACAAGATTAGATTTCTACAAATAGAGGTAAGGAGAATGTAATTGATATGAATGAAAATAATAAAGTCATTCTCTTTTTCAAGTACAAGTATCATTAATGAAATAGAAAAGCATTCAATGAAAATGAAAAAATTAGAAATATCAAGATGCTGGAAGATCCTTGGACAAGAGAGAAAGAAACCTTTGATTGTGCAGAAAGTAGTTTACTCTTCAGTAATGCAGCAGGATTTGTTGGTACCTGATATCAAAATTTACCGCATTCTATAATTATTATGAGACAAATAGAGCTGCAAAACATGAAAACCCATTCAAAAAGTTCAAATAATTTGAAATAGAAAAGCAAAAACAAACATTTTAGAAAAAGACAAAAGTTATAATATATACCAGCACTGGAGCCCCATTTTTCACAATATAGCGCTTATGCTGGGATATTGGCTGTAACAGTAAATAAATCTCAATCTTAATCACGACTATGACAAATATTTAAACTGTTAATAGCCCTATTACAAATACTCTTAAACTACCAAGTAAAACAATAAAATGGACATTACATTTCAACAAACTAAAGCTCTGGCGGCTAAAAAACAGGTAAATTGTGGAAGATAAACGAAAGAAAATTGCTTTACAAAATCGGGAAAAGATATTCTTAGACATTCCATTTTCTAAGCTAAATATCCTTACAAATTGCTGCTTTTCTTGAAGTCCAAGAGCATCAATCAGACCTTTAACCTCAATTTCACTTTCAGTCTGCACTAGATGAGCAGAACTCAACATCAATAATAAGAACTTATACTATAAGCATATATTGAACGGGAAATTTACAATGAGCCATGATACTTAAGTCATTTTCAACTTTTATATGTGAAGTTTATTTGTAAGACATAACACCGCAAAATGTTTATTATATTGAAAACATTAAATTTGGTTAGCCTCAACTTCTCAAAGTTCATGTGAGAAGCAAGAACCTTAAAAACAGGTGGATTAGTAACTTGCAAACTAGGTCAAGTCACTTTTAGGATTCTCAAGTTTCGAAGAAAACAATTTCTATATCATTCAGTCTCATTACATACATTTGATATATATATACATACATTGATTAGATAAATTTGGAATAAGTATTGCCAATTATAGGAAACAAATCCCTAAGATTGAGATTGATATGCTAGTAATGCAATCAAGATACAACCAATATACACAATTAAAAACAACAAGAATCAATTCTAAAACTTCTTCAAATATCTCAACAAGGATGTTAAAACTTAAAGAATTTATTTTTCACTCTAACGAAACCTCAGGTAGGTTGTGTAACAAAATGACATTCTTGTAACAACGTTGAAAATAGAAAAAACACCAGAAGGGTGACTAGAAATTTTCCCAAAACTAAATTACAAATTCTCCTCCCCTAATGTAAAGATCTCTTTAAAATAGCACATCCATGATAAACTTACCATTGTATTAGCTCCCTCATCCCAAATAAGACCATCCCGAGAAACACTTCTCAACCTCCCTCCAGCTCTTCCTTCAGCTTCAAATACAGTGACATCCACACCATGTGATTTCAGTTTGTAAGCGGCAGCAAGCCCACTTGATACCACCGTACAAAAGTTAGCAAGACTTTGTCGTCATGAATATTTAAAAATGTCAAATACACCAATGATTAAAAACTTTATCATGGATGATGCAGGCACCCATGCCATCGTCAAATACAATAGACCATATATACAATCAATCATCATATGTCAGCCATATAGCAACAATGAAACAACCTGAAATAACATCATTTCATTATTCCATTAAAATTCATTTTCTTGCACACGCTTCAATTCAACATAAAACCATTGTTGACGGAATTCAAAAATTTCCCAGCACATGAAAGGCAAGGTAAGTTTAAATCCAGCCAAGCCAATAATGACAATACATACTTCCAATCAGAGGAAATTAAATAAATAAATTCAAGCATCAGCATTCAGCAGCAATTAAATAATATATAGAGAAAAAAATGCAAACAAGGACAAAGTCTAGCAACACACTTTTAAATACACTTTTGGACACAGTCTTATGAACACACTATTTTAAGGTGAATTTCATATAATAATAAAAAGTACATAAGAAATGTATCACTGGCATTTCTGAAAAATATGTAGGAAGAACTGAACTTATAACATAAAGAAGTGACCTCACCTTACCCCAGCACCAATAACAGCAACTCTTTTTACGGATCCTGCTGACCCAAAAGTACCAAGTCAAGGTTTTGAAAAATCTAAGGAACCTTAAACACATTTTACACAGAAAATAGTACTCATTCTCTGATTGTTGTCTGGCTTAAGAATTGGCACGCAACTCAACTGAATACGAAACTGTAGACAAATATTTAAACTTAAACTATTACAAAAACGGAGATAAATAAGAGAAACAAGATAGCTTACTTGGGTTATCGTCTGTTGCAGAGGAACTCATACTCTCTTTCACGATGCGCCGGCGGAGCTTGGTGTTTGGTAGGTGTGAGATTGTGAGAGCTGAGAAAACATCATCAAAACGATTTCATCTCTTTGTTTTTTTGTTTCATGTTTTCTTTTTCTTTTATCGTTTTATTATTAGTAGGAGCAGTAATATGGGTTCTGGTGGTCTCGTTTTGCAATAAAATAGTTCGAAACCGTACTTATGCACGCTCGTTTTTTTTTTTCTTTGTTTTCGTATTAATTATTAAATTAAAACCTATTTAAATTATACTATTAATAAATATTTTTATATATTACTATTTATGTTTTAGTAATAATTATTTTAATGCTAGCGTACATATTATAAGAAATAATTTTAAGAAAAATTCAAAAATATTTATTATATATCGAATTTAGAAAGATAATTAAAAATTTGATTAGAAAAATTAATTTAAATATTTTTTTGAGGCATCTAAAAAGATAGTGTTTTATAAATCTTTTAAAATTTCTAATAAATTTCAATATTCCAATATTTTTTTAATAAACTACTATTTTATTGTTTATATCTGTATATATCATAATAATAATTAAAAATTTAATTAGAAAATTCAATTTAAACATTACTTTTGAGGTATCTAAAATGGATAGTTGTTTTATAAATCTTTTAAAAATTTCTAACAAATTTCAATATTACAATATGTTTTTAATAAAGTATTATTTGTATTGTTTGTATGTTGATATCTATGAACTAAACAAAGGATCCCAGAGAAAGATTGAAACCACCAAAAACAGAATTCTTTTTAAATTTTTGTACATTTTAATTTCTGTCTTTAATTTAAATTTTTAACTTTTGGTTTTTACTTTGAATTGTTGTATAAGTAGAAACACAGACATTTTGGACATCTGATGTTTTTTTTTTGGAATTAAAAAAAAGTTTTTATGGACTTTTGGTTGGAATAAGAATTGGAAAAAAACCAGAAAAATCTTGTTGAACTTCAAAAGTATTAGAAAATTGCAAAATCAGAAAAAGTGATAAGTCATGGTGCTTTCAAGATACATTACAAACTGATTTCACAGTTTAACACAACGAGTTAATCACTAGTAAGATAAGAGAGCCAAACATTAAAGGTGAGATGAGTGATGTTGAGTAATTTCATTAGTTTTGTGTTTAATTTTGATTTCTATTAAATATGAGAAGCAGGATCAAGACAAGTTCTTTGTTGAATATTTTTAGCTTAAAGCCAAACAGTTGGCCCAACATGAACCTTAACTTTACATAAATACACCTTGAGCCTCAAAATGTGAAAATCCTACCTTCCTTAGTGATGAAGGAGATATAATATGTTTGTGTTGTCAAAAAGCAAAAAGTAGGTTGTTATGAATGAAAAAAAAAAACAAGAAGAAGAAGGAAAGGTTAAGGTGAAAACACCCTATTGCAAAAAAAGAATGAAAACAAAGTTATGCAACCTAAAAGGTTGAATGAAAAAGTTGATACACCTAGAAGGGAGAAATGAAAAATGCCAAACAAGGTTGGAAAAGAAATTCATCTCATGTGCATAATGTTAAAATTCCTTTGTTAGTGAGTTTTGTTTGTCTTGAAAAACCATAAGACTGGTAATCAATTATTCAATCCATTATGACTCACAATAATTGATTATCATAAGTAGTAGTTGAAGTCTTTTAGCACGTTTTTTTTCTATTGTGCATTCATTATATGCATAATCGATTTGAGAAAAGACTAACAACAAATTTTTGGAGTTGTTCTTGAGTGAGGTTTTTATAAAGATGTTTTAGACTCTCATTCTTATGCACAACTGAATGTTTTTTAACAAAGTAAAGTGTAACATAGGGTTTTTGTAACTCTTGTGAATTGACTTTGAAAACTTCGTACTAGCAATAGCGAGAACTTTCACTAGAAGTGTGATTGAGTGTTGTTATTGTTGCTAAGTGAACCTATCATCTTTTGTGTAAATTCAAATCCTTCGTGAAACATTCAGGGGAGGTGTTCATCCCTTGTGGTCTTAGGGGAAGTAAGTATATCTTTTAGAGTAACAAGAGAGGTGTTTCTAAACCTTAAACTTGTTTTTTTGTGTGATTGTAACAATTTATTGGTTTTGTAATAGTGGACGTAGGATTCTTGTGATCTGTATAAAATCATATATGCATTTTTCTCTCTTCCCTTACTCTATTATATTTGTTTAAATTATCCTATAAATTTATTTTGAGAAAAAAATTATAAAAGCCTAATCACATTATAAAAATTATAAATTTCTCTCTTCCCTTACTCTATTAAACTTGTTTTTTTGTGTGATTGTAACAATTTATTGGTTTTGTAATAGTGGACGTAGGATTCTTGTGATCTGTATAAAATCATCTATGCATTTTTCTCTCTTCCCTTACTCTATTATATTTGTTTAAATTATCCTATAAATTTATTTTGAGAAAAAAATTATAAAAGCC